TTTATCGCGTTCCATTTTTCACAAAGCAAAAGAAATTGTTGTTTAGGAAAATAATTGTGTATGCTGACTGAATGTTATCGAGAAATGTCGAAATTAATCACAAACTACCTGTTTCGTTAGTAATGACTACTAGAACTGTTTGCATTGCCATCTAACATTTGCGGGCGGAAACTAAGTTAAGGTCCTAATAAAATGTAATACATGTAATACATGTTTATGAATCAATGCGATTTATTTTGTTGTGGTGTAATGTGTGTATGTGCCGTCCAATGAAGCACACTGTTCGAAATAATTGAAAGATCACTTTTACAAATAATAATATTAGTGATAATGCATTTTTATAAATTTGGAAAATTTTCAAGTATTTTTCTCCCAATGTATATATATTTATTAATTGTTTGGCTAACTTAGATTATTGATTGGTTAATGATTTTTGTTGAAGAAAATTTTGATTAATTAAACGCTAACACTGTCTGGCAGATGTCATTAAAGTATCAGGTATACGCTTTGAATTCAAAATTTGGTGATATTATAAATGAACAGTAACAAATAAAAAAAAATTGGCTCTAAGATAAATTAGTTTAAAAAAAGGAGAAGAAAGGAGCCTATAAGAGCTAAGCACAGATGTGTAGTGCTATTTATATGAGACAAAATATAATTACAATATATACGTTTCGACCCGATTTGGGACTTCTTCAGTAATACTAGTTAATTATACAAAGGTTAACTACAACACACGCAATCAATTAATGCACGCATATAACAAAAGTTCACTTCACGCATATAACAAAAATTCACTGGCAACGGATCAATATTAATGTCAAAATTATAAAAATTCTCCTCCAAAGTTTATACGGTGCATCCTTGATCACTAGTAACGTTTAAAAACGATACAGTGTAGACTAATAGCGAATTCGGTTGCTTGCACTAGTGTGCACTGAGTGCGCACTAAGGCTTGTTCATAGTATGTTATTATATTTAAAAATTGTCTTAAATAATTCTCAAATAAATTCTCAAATATTTTTAACCATAATATGATATATATAACATCCGTACGAATCATTTTATTAGTTAAAATGTTTTTAAATATGTATTTAAGACACGATCTTAAATATAAGAATGTACTGTAAACAAGCTTAGTGCGCACTCAGTGCGCACTAGTGCAAGCTACCAAATTCGCTATAAAATGAAAAAAATAGTCTCCCCAAAGATGCCAACGAGGAGAAAGTTAAAATTTTATTTCTCTTTCATTTGAATCTAAATAACAAAAGAGAGAAAAACTGAGCAAACCAAGCACCAGTGTGACCAGAAATCTCGCCCAGTAGCACTGGTACATCGAGAGGAAATTCGCTGAAAAAAATAACTTCTTATGGTTGGGCACCATTTGTAAAGCAATAAGTTAAAGCAATAAGTTAAAGCGAGATAAGATATACTTGTTTCACTCTTAAGCCTATTCTACAATTGCGTGAACGCGGTTGTAAGTAGTTGTAAGTGACTACGACAACCAATCAGAGTAAAGTAATCAGTGAATAAAACATTCGGATTGGTTGACTCTTACGTTCACGACTACACTTACGCAATTGTAGAATGGGCTTTACAGTTTGCAGTTAAAGAGCTGCACCACTGAACTGATGCAGTAAGAGGAGGACAAGTATATCTTATCTCGGTCTAACTTATTGCTTTACAAATGGCGCCCAACCATAAAACCCGTATCAGACTATAGATTAGAATTGAAATTGAATTGAAATTTAGTTAATCAGAGCAAAATTCACTAGCTCAAGTTTGGCGAACTTTGCTCTGATTGGCCAATTTTCAATTCAATCTCAATCTTAATCCGTAGTCTGATACAGGCTTAAGAAATTATTCTTTTCCACTGAAATATATACTACTTGGGCTCCTATTCTTGAAATTTTTGCGTATACGTAATTGCGCAGCTATTTTATGGTATGATTAAACCTGCGCAGTAAAACTTACGTATACGCAACTATTTCAAGAATAGGGGCCCTGGAACGCGCGCTGCCTCTTGAGGTGTGCGGGATGAGAAAGAGGTTTCTTGTTTCCTCTCTTATTCTTGTCTGGTTTATTGACTATATAACCATGGATCGCTAGCGGCAATTCTAATGGCTCCTGCACACAGGATGCGATAATACTTGCTGCGCGGCGGAAGTCCGTGCGACAGCCAATCAATATGTTGTTTTTTCCTAAGAGCTAGAAGGTTATTACGAAAAGCAGCATATTGATTGGCTGTCGCGCGAACTTCCGCCGCGCGGCAAGCATTACCGCGGCCTGTGTGCAGAAGCCACAAGCGTCTGTCAACATCTGTAGCGCCGCCAGGACCAAACAACAGCAAAAGAAGGAACTTAGTAGAGCAAAACAGAGTTAGCAACGTAAACGCTTCTAATATCCGCGTATCACATGGTGATACGTATTGGAAAAACCTAATAGTATAGTAGAGGTAATAAAAAGAATTAGACTTTCTTGAAAACTACAAATACTTTATAACAAAATTAATTATAGAAAATTATGTTAAAATTGTTATGAATTATGAGGGAAAATTAATGTGCCAAAAATGTCAATATATCAGACATAAATTGACAAAAATTATTTTATTTCAAGGATAATAATATACCGTCATTTGGGGTAACTTTTATATCGCTTCTATCCGTTTAATGATGCCACATGTTTTTGTAAGCCGTTGCAAATTGTTCAAAGTTACCTCGGTGTTCCAAGTTACCTCAAATGATGGTATTTTAAATAATGTTTTAAAAAATGTTGAATGTTCTTTTTATAATATTACATATATATATAAATATTCTTAATATATATATATATATATATATATATATATATATATATA